TCTTTTCTTCGTTATGGACCTAGACTTGTTATGTTGAACTTCCGTGTGATGGACGTCGACTTGTGGTGTTCGGACGTGTTGGACTTCATGTGATGGTTGTAATGCACTTGTGTGGTTGTTATTGTGACATATATGTGATGTTGTGCGTTATTGTGATATATGTGGTGATGTTGGCGACAAATGTGATGAAATTGTGATATAAATGGTGCTACCTAGGGTGCTTACGGTGAAATTGGATTATAATTTGTGATTTTGCGGGGTTTTGATGCGAGAAAATAGAAAACAAAAGCAAAAAAAAAAAAAAATTCGCTTTGCTTTGCGAAGGTGGGCAAAAAACCAGGAAGAATCTTTGCCGATCGCAACTCAAAGCAAATCGGCAAAAAAAAAATTCAACTTTTGCCGATTGCGGCAAAGCTAGGCAAAAACCAGGAAGAATCTTTGCCGATTGCAACTCAAAGCGATTTCGGCAAAGAACATTCAAAAAAAAATTTCTTTCTTTGCCGATCGCCGAAATTGGCGGCGATCGGCAAACAATTTTGAAAAATAATTCTTTGCCGACCGCCGAGGAACCAAAGATTGGCAAAGCGCCGTCGGTGGCGACGTATGCGACGCGGCTATGCCGATCATTGGCGTGGCGGTTGGCAAAGGATTTGTCGATTGTGTGCCACGTGGCGGTCGGCAAATCCGCCTTTGCCGACCAGGCTTTGCCGATTGCTCTTCTTGCCGATCGCCACGTGAGCTGCGGTCGGCAAAGCCTTTGCCGACTGGGTTTATGCCTTTGCCGACCGGGGCAAGCAGTCGGCAAAGAGACGTTTTCCTGTAGTGTGAACTAATAGCATGTGCTTGCATTAAATAATTAAAAATAATCAAAAAGTGTGCTTACACACGAGCATGCATGCCCCTCGTGACGCTCGCAGAGGCGCTTCTCGCAGCATCCTTGCCGAAACCGTATCGCTCCATGTACAATACCGGATCACCCGGTTTGGTCGGGGAGACCAATAACGAACACTCACCCAAGAGAGACCCTATTGGGGCAGGCGCACTATTGGGTTACCCTGACATCAACATGCCAGTTAGCCTTCAAGCATCGTAGAGACGAAGGAAAACATCAACCTAGGGTTTGGATGAGTGTAGGGCAAAAAAGAGTAAATAAGATAAAGTTGTATTAATTGATCGATTGGATGTCTCAATTGTCCTTGACCGTCTGCTGACCATACACAATACTGGATCACCTAGTTTTGTCGGGGAAAAAATATTCCAGAGGAGGTCATGATTTCTATGATCTGGATTCTAGTTAGACGCTCTACATACGTATTTGGATTGCGGTAATGCTTGGAACAGGGCGTCCATCTGCCCGTACATTGCTGGCTTCTCGGGTTGGACCTGTCCAACAGGCGAGGCGTGCTCCATTCTACGCGTGGCCTCCACTGCGCCATCCGTCGGCCACGGCCACCTCCACAATCCCAGTCGCCTGGACTTGCGCCGCCTGCCGCGGCCACCTTCATCCGCCTGTCGCGCCACTGCCGAGGCCCATGTCGCCGATGAGCTCCGCACCGGCGATCTCCGCGCCACTATATGGCATCGAGCTCTGCATCGACGAGCCTTCGTTTGCCCAAACAACAAGTAGATTGGTGTTACATGCGTTGCAAGTGTATGTTCTAAATGTTTCAGCTGTTTTAATGTATGTAAGTTTCTATTTAAAATGTTTCATCTATTTCAGACGTATGTTGCAAGTGTTTTATCTGGATGTTGTATATGTTGCAGTGACTATACACAGCTGTTGCAAGCGTATGTTCTAAATAATTCATCTGTTTTTCAGACGTATGTTACAGCAAGTGTTTCATGTTTCATACGTATATTTTTGGATGAGATGCAGGGTTCAAAATTTTGGCCGAATTTCACGAAATTCGGTAATTTCGGTGGTGGCCGAAAGAAAACTCCAAACTTTTTTAATACACTAATACATGTGCTATATAACTCTAATCTTATATTTTTCTATTGTTTATGTTGCATATTCTTCTATTTAATAGATATGTAGTCATAAATCATACTAATATTTGTTTAGATCCAATTTTTTTTAAAAAACATACTTCATGTGCTAATCTCTAAAAAAATTTCGGCGAAATTTCGGCCGAATTTCGTGAAATTCGGTAATTTCGGTGGTGGTCGAAATTTTGGCTATACCGAAATTCAAAACCTTGATGAGATGGCCGGAGTCACGTGGTGCGCATCTGCAGGCGTAGTGTTTGGATTCCCGTGGCGAGCACGATATGAAGCAGGCGTGGGAAGCGAGCGCAGGAGCAGGCAGTCCTGCGTGCGGGTGCGGGGCGGTCCCATGTGCATGCGCGGGCAAAAGAGCGGCGTGGGCTAGGCGGATGAAACTGGCGCTGTGTTTCCGGCGTAGCAGGGATGGAGGCGCGGTGTTTCCCGCGTACGCATGGGCGCAAGTGAAACGGAGCAGGCAACTAGACATGGGCATCCGTTCGGACGTCGTGTTATCTCCGATTTTGATTGTCTTGATAATCGCTACGGTCTTTTATCTGAAACTTCCCTAAAAACTGTACCATCCAGTACGCGATACGAATCTTTCGGTTTATTTCCATATTTGTGGATTTTGGAGCCGTCGCTTTCGTGACGCGGTGACGGCTTTGGTGCGCCTCCCATGCCTTGATTGCTTTGCCCGGTCGATCCATGCATGCATCCACATGCATACCTTAATTTCCCAGGCCAGTTGCATGGATCGTGACTGAAACCGGCAAGGCGGCAACCACATCTTCCAGCACGAGACTCAGAGCCCCCACCAACTAGTCCAAGCTAAGTAATAAGGAGAGCATGAGCAACAACAAGCCTCCAGGAAAACGGAACCGATCGAACAACAACGATATCGACGATGATGCAGCGTGTGCGTGTACGTGCCGTGCGGCGGCGCACCAATTGCGTGAGCGAGCAGGAGACACGGCGGTGGGTGGTATCGGTTTCGCATCGCCGTCAGCCCGTCGGCTTTGATTGTGCAGTTACCAGTTTAGTAGGAACCTAACGACAGAAGCAAGCAGGATTTGCGTGTCCACTGATCGACCACTGCACGCCCGGCGCCGGCGTCCATCCATGGCCAGGAGATGTCATGTCGACATGATGCTGCGTACTACTACGTGCAAATCAAGCTACAGATAGATGCATTGCATGAACCGCCAAAAGGCGCCCAGATCGTGCTCGTGTAAATCTCTTTTTCCGGTCTCTTTCGTTTCATGGAGTCATCAGCGCTGGCCCGGATGCACGATCGGACGGGCAAACCGTGCTGGGGACTGGGGTTTATGGTCATGTCATACGGCGATAGTCAGTGCCCATGCATGCCCCATGGCTGTCTGTTGATGAGGCTGCTTCATCCAAGCATATGGTAGTGCGCAGTCGGAATTCCGTCGTTGGTGGAAAATTTCATGAGTGAAGAGTAATAATGGGAAAGCTTGCTGACGTCCTTCTTTCTCAACAGAGCGCCATAGAGCATGAAGGAGAAAACTATAGCTGCTCAAAATCAAGAGGGTCTTCTCACCTCTCTTTCCCAACTCCGACGAGGCTAGAGTTAATTATACAGTTTGGAGCGGAGAGTTTCACTACGAAAGATGATAAGAGCCTATTTGGTATAGATTTTTGAACAACTTCAGGAGCCGTTTTGGTGCCTAGGTTACCAAACAAGCGTTTTTTGTTCAGCTCCACTCACATAGCTCCATATTTTGAACGGTGTCAGACGCAGCGGGAGAAAACCAGTTTTCACTGACTCCTACAAGGTCCACAAGTCAAGGTACAAAATTACCCCTCCATTTTAATAGAAATCACATCAGCTTTGCCACCGCCTCCCCACCATCCCTCAAACACGGTTCGGTAACCAAACCATTAATAATTGCTTATTGGTTTAAAAAAACACTAATAATTGCTTGCCAATAATTCATATTATTATTTTTATTTCAAGACCACTCACATATTAAAATATATGCAAACATACAAGTCATTAGACTTTAGAAAGCGAGGGGCATATTGGACATTTATCCTCTCTCAGCCATTCATGACCCGACAGAGAAGCTGTTGAGCCCAGCGTTTTTCTAAATCGCGGCGGGTTGTTTTGGCAATAGTTGGAGCTATTAGCTATACCAAAAAAGACCTTAACATTAAAGGGAAAGACGGGTAGACCTGAGTGGCAGTGGTGGTGGGCTTGGGATGGGAATGGGCAGCTTGTTCGGCTGGAGGAAAACGATCGTAAATTTCCAGCCGGAATAGTATTTTTCTCTCACACAAACCAGCCAACAATACTTCTTCACGAACTAGCAACAATATGAACCAACCAACCGAACAGGCCGGGGAACATGGCTCTCCTCATGTTTATCGCCTCCTATCGAGCTGGTATAGAGCCGAGAGGGCTTTTCCCTCCATGATTGCTACTAGTTTGCTACCGAGCAAAATCTAGTGAGGTGCAACCTCTGATCATCAATGCTAGTAGAAGCCTAGAAGGTTGCCATTTGGACAAGAAAGAGGAGAGATCCGTTCCAAAAATACAAGTTGCTGGATTGAAACTTAGCTTTCTCCTTTCTGAAAAGGTTTTAGCTAGCTTTCGCCCTACTAATTCCAGCCATGTGCTATGTCTTCAGGTCTTGTACACAAGTAGTAGCAAACTAAAGTCGAGGAAAAAAAATCTGTTGCATTTCTTTTATGGTGCGACTAAAATTAGCGAGGTAGCGAGGCCGTCCATCTGTTTCTTCTCCCTCAAAACGAGGGCCACCATCCACACATTGGCAAGAGCAACGTTCGTGGTGCCTCCTCAACGTTAGCTGTTGAGCCTTGCAGACCAACCTCCTTAAAATCGACTGTTAATGACCCCGCATTAATTCCCAACGCCGCTCCTGCCATCATCACTCCCTTCAATCGATCGATCGCCTTCGTTGTTCGTTCCCACATTCTTGATTATTCTTGTTATTTCTCCGGGTCGGTCGATCATGAGCAACCAACCAACCATGGCGGCGGCGGCGGCGCCCGTGCGCGCGTGGGTGGTGGTGCTGGTGCTGGTGCTGGCGTGCGCGCTGCTCCAGCTGCAGCCGTCCGACGCCGCGGCGCCCGTTCCGCAGGCGGCGGCGGCGGTGTCATCGGGCGCCGCGAAGGACAAGTGCGTGGCCGGCGCCAAGAACGACAAGGCGTGCCGCGTCGGCGCCGTGCACGACCCGGAGAACCAGGAGGAGGAAGGGTCCAGCGTGACGCTCAAGGCGCCCGCCGCCGCGCCCGACAGCGAAGACGACGGCAGCGACTACAACGACCCCGACGAGCCCAACGACGGCCAGCTCGTCGTCGTCGGCCACTGAAGCTGCCGCGCGCCGGCCGACCCCATGGATTATATCATGCATGAAGATTGAAGGGGATGGATCGGACCGGCTGGTTAACGGATCGATCTCTCGGTGTCAATTCGTGATCTTGACCTGTCGAAGCAGATGGGACTTGCATGTTTGTTTCATTGTTGCATTGATTGTTCCTTGTTAACTAGTAGTGTGTATGGTAAAATTGGTTAACGCTTATTAATCACAAAGTGTGATGTGAACTTGCGATCCTTTATCCTCTGTTGAAACATTATTATACCCTCTCATGTCACAAAATAAGATTTGATCAGATTAAAAACTAAGAACATCAACCATATATTATATTACATTTTAGTTTGGAAACATGCAAGTTTCAAATTCTTGTAAAATCTCATAAACTTGAAACATTGGCTCCCGTAGAAGAAGGGACGGTGGAGGAGAACAAGGGAAAGAGACGCGTCTTCGTTTAGTTTGATGCTAGTATAAACTAGTACACAACAAGGGACTTTCTAGTTTGAAAAGCTAATTATTATTTTTTGAACACTTCTAAATTTTCATTTAAAAGTTAAACACGTCCTTCGTCGATAGATCTCGAGAACACCTCCCAGAAAAAACCCGTCGGGGGAGATGCACGCCAAGGAAGAGGTCTCCTGGAACATCATCAAATCTCACGAAAAGAGAGGCGCCGAATGGCGGGAGACTAAAAATGTAGAGTAAAAGAGGTAATAGATGTAAAAATCGATTGGATATTGACTAAATCGGTCATAATCCTTCAATATATCCTTCAATATATATAGAGGGGTGGTCTTATCCTAGTAGAAAACCTTTTTAAGATGTAGTAATCTTCAAGTCTCCCACGAGTTCGGAACAGTCCGGATCGGAATTCAAAAGGCTAGATCTAACAGGGCTTTTTTAGTTCATCGGAAGTTCTGAACCTCGAAACTTCCGAGATATGTCGGAACTTCCGACGTAGGATGAAATCGGGAATCTAATAGGTGTTTTAGTTTGTTTGAACAAGTTTTCAGAAAAAAAATAAATCAGTAATTATCAGGGAAAAAAAAACTTCACAGAAAACAGGGAACCAGAAAAAAGAAGCAAAAAAAAAGCTAGAAGAAAACAACACAAGGTAATCTACAACATGTTTGCTTGGTCGTATTTGGCTTATAAGCCATGGCTTATCAGCCAACGAACAATATTTTTCTCTCACACCAAACCAGCCAACAGTAGTTTCAACCATGGTTTATCAGCCAAACAAGCTTAAACGAACATGGCCCTAGTTCAGTATATGTCCATTCCGTTATAGATATAAGTGGTGTGAATCTAATTCCTAGTCCTAAATGAAAGTCACACCACGGTTCGTATCCAACTATAACATTTGTTTTAGAAAAGGGTCCAACGATAACACAGCAATGAAATTCGTTAGCTATCATTCTTTTATATAAGTTGTTCTCTGAGACTGACGTTTGTTTTTGAGGAAGGTAGGAATTTATCGATTGTTATGATTGGCAAACGTTTAAATTCTCTGTTTCTTCATTGGGCCTCTCTCACCAGCCCAAGCGTCAGTGCACTTATCCCGGCCCATACGTGTCCTCAGGTGCGTGAAGACTGGGCTGTATAGCCAGATCAATCATTGGCATGTTCGGTTGGCTGGTTCGTTTCGTTGTTGGTTTGTGAAGAAGTACTGCTGACTGATTCGTGTGAGAGAAAAATACTATTTTGGCTGGAAATTTATGATCGTTTACGACAAGCCACGGCCACACTTTGTTCAATAAAATATGCAGCTATTGTATACCTATGGCATGTTTGAGCCCATCAGGTTGTTTAGCAACGTTTCTGCTTTAAACAGAGTCTATCCACATAGAACCATCCATCCCCAGTCAACCACTAATTTTTTTTTCTTCCGTCTGTCACTTTCTTTCGCATTAGTCCATTACTCACTCCTCTTCCATCTCTTTCATCCATCAGTCTGTCGTCCCTGTGCCCCACTCGTCTCTATCGTCTCGTCCTCACTCTGACCATTCTTATTTTGAGTTTAAACCTGTAAAATACGGAGTATTTGTTAACGACACACTATTCATGACATGGCTGCAGGATCACCCGAGCATATGTGCGTAACTCACAATATGTCCACACAACACTAGTATAGCAACGATTTATCTGGGTGGTGGTCATTTTCTTCGGTGGCGGTTCGTAATGTATAGACGCCACTAGAAACAAACCTATGGGTCCAAATCGTGAACTGTCAGTGTAAATTTATTTTTACTGTCTGTTTTCTTAAGTTTATTGTCAGGAAAAATACATGATTTCTACTGGTGGTAGTCTTAAGAAAACAGTCAGTAAAAATGTGTTTATAGTGACGGTTTTCATAACCAAGCGCAACTGCAAATAATTAGAAATTAATTTTTTGAGTTTTTCAAATGATCTTGGATGGAGAAATGGTCTAAACAAAAGTTGTAGGATTCAAAACGATCTACAACTTTGTAGTTGATAATCTTTTCATTTAAAATCATTTAGGGCACAGAAATTATGTTTTAAGATTAATGAATTTAAAATTTATATTTTTTTGAATTACTCAAATGGCCTCTGATGGGAAAACGATCAAAAGCAAAGTTGTTGATCTCGACGAGATTTAAAAGTTTTTAGTTGAAACTTTTTTTTCATTTGAATATGTTTAGGGCTTCAAATCTCAATTTTAAAATCTATCGCAGTGAATACCAAGGAGATATTTCTGCTCTCTAGTCACAAGTGTTTTTGGGGTGCAGTATTAAGGGGGCGTAAGGCATGAGGCTTTTGCAGAGTTGGATTCCTCCATGTCGCGCATGCATGGATTTCTTGCGAAATGAATGAAAACAATAAGAACTGTGTGTGGCTGCCTTGTGCGCGAGCCCTCCTCAAATAAATTTTGTTTGCTATTTTTTAGCATGATTTATAATTTTTGAAAATCATTTGTAGTGGTGGTTTTCTTAAGAAAACAGCCAGTGTAAATCATTTGCAGTGGCGGTTCTCTAGAAGACGTCTGTGAAGTTCGCGATTTTCACTGGCCTTTAGCACTGGTGGTTGATACAAACGCCAATAAAAATAGGTTTAGAATCGCCAGTACTAACGTTTCGTGTACTAGTACAATAATCATATATTTTATTTGAGTTAATCTCCTATAAAGTTTTCATGTCAGATTAATTTTTTTTGTTACACTAGATAAATGCCCATACGTTGCACGGAAACATAACAATGATATGGTAATTTAAGTATGAGCGTGTGTTGTATTCATTTTAAAAAACAGTATGAATGTGTTTCAAAAAGCAATTTTTTGTAGCAATTAGGAGATTGGGAGGAGGGGCGCCGGATGTTGTGAGGCTGCCGACCGTCCTCACAAGGCTGCTGAGTGCTAACCGTTTCCTATGTGAAGTCCCGAACTATGCAGAATTGGCTCCGACGCGGACTCCGTAGAACTGGGCGTGATTTTGGATTTCAGACTTCGCGCGGCCGGATAGTGTACCTATTTGACCAGATAATATACGTATTAGGTACGACTTTGGATTTGTGGCGCAGAGAAACGGTGGCCGGATATTGTACGTATTATGTATTTGGTATAGTTTTTCTTGGTAGTCTTTGTGACCGGACAATATATGTTTTTGGTTTTGGTACCACCAGGTAGATGATTACTTTAGAGATTTTTTAGGTTAGGTCCTAGAATTTATTTATTTATTAGGTTAAGTCTAATTAAATCATCACATTTTTGCTTTTCCCTAATGTAATCCCTTATCCCCCCCGGTCCGACCCGTTCTGGTCCGCGGCCGCAAGCCACCCCTTCCCAGTCTGTGTTTTTTTACTATTTTTCCGTTCCTTTACCTTTTTTGCTTTTTCCCAACCGAAGCACGTCCCAATTTCTTAAGGTTTATCATTTTTTCATAAATGTCAAAAACACTGGTTTATCCTTTTTCTTCCGTAAATGTCAAACTTCTTTTCATACATATAGAAAACAAAGAATAAAGACAACATCATGATCTTTAAACCTCCGAATCCTTACCTAAGAAATAAAGGTTTTCACTATCAATTTGTTGATGTAATTTTAATTAAAAATAAAATTTATTATTATAACTTAGTACAACCGATTGTTCAAATAATCAAATCATAAACTAAAATCTTAAACAATTTGTTGCCTAGTCCATTCTAAATAAATATGCCTGTTGTATGCATGCATTAGCGGAAAACCAAGGGAGATCTCGCTTCATAATTAGCAGCAAACAAACCAGTCTGACACATTGGCAAATAACTTTTTGCCGACGCAAATCAGAGATTAGAACTACATATTTGTATGGGTCCTCAAAAGAAGTCATGGAACTTGATATTTAATCGTAATAATACCAAGAATAACAAGAAAACCGCAGTAATCTATGAACTAGTGCCACTAAATGCGAATCAACTAAGCAAATGCTCTAGATCTCTCCCAATCTCAATTTGGATTAAGGAACAAGCAAGAAGATGAGTGGGAGATGTTCTCAAGAGCTTAAGGGAGTGTGTGTTCCGTTGGGAGGCCAAGAGAGTGTCTAAGGGCCGGCCACACCCTCTATTTATAAGTCAAATAAGAAACTAGCCGTTATGTGCTAGTCGCAGCTTATTTTTGGGGGTCATCAAAAATATCTGGTGATCACCGGAAACCTGTGCCAGAACTGCAAAGTTAACATCTCATGCTTAAAAATCAGCACTAAGTCACAAACTCACAAACGACTCATCAAATTTGCTAACTCAAATATGTTCAAACATGAGCATCTTCACCTTAGGCACTAAGTTAACTTTTAAAAAATATTTTTCACTTGTATCTCAGTGCGTCACTAGGTCCAATGCATGCAGTTAGTTCACGCATAGTGGTACTTAGATAAATATTTGCATTAAAGTTTTTCGCTTAATATTACGGCTATCTATTGTAAGGTCGACTAACACACTCTATTGCGTCCTGGCAAGTGAAATGAAAGTCTCTGCACAACCTCGACTCAGCGAGAGCGAACCCC